GGAGGGTCCAGCCCACTGTAGGCAGTGCCACTCCTGAGCAGATGGGTCAGAGCTTTATGAGACAGATAGCCCAGCTAGGGGAGCAACCTAGTAAGCCGTGCTCCTCCGTAGTTGCTGCTTCAAGCTTCTGCCTTGAGTTCTTGCCCTGACTTCCTCAATGACGGACTGTGACATGGAAGTGTAAACCAAACAAACCCTTTCCTCCCCATGTTTCCTTTGGTCACGGTGTTTATCACAACAACAGAAAGCAAACTAAGACAGCAAGGTTGTGGACCGTTCAGGAGAGGATGCTCGCTGGAGAAGGGTCACTAGGGACAGGCCTTGAGATGTTTTAGCCAGCCTCACTTCCTGTCTGTCTCGGTTCCCTGTTCCATCACGACGTGAGGTGAGGGACCCCAGCTGCACACTCATGCCTTCATCCAGAACAGACTGTACTCTCCCAAACTGTGAGCTAAGATAAAATCCTTTCCTCTCCTCAAGCTGTTCCTTGTCAGATAAACATACCAAACCTTAGCAGGCAGAAGATGTAGTTGCCTTGTCACGCTTAATACTTCTGCCTTTCAGGAGGTCAAAGCCCTGTGGTGTGTGGTCCACTTTCTGATGTGCACGCCCCATCTTCTCAGAGTCTCATGGCCGTGGTCCTGGAAGGCTTCCGTGGCTTTCTCTCAGGGGATCTTCTCTTCTGTAATTCCAGTCCCTGTTTCTCAGAAATCTCCTTGATTACTTGTTTCTTCAGATGGTCTTTCTACAGCACCAGCTTCTCTTTTATTTCGTCCTTTTTTGAATGGTTATTAAGTAATCTGTTTATGCGTGCAAAGTTAAACTCAAAGCTGCTTTACCCAAGAAGGTGACTAGGTCCTGTACCAAGTCTTTCTTCTGCATCTTTGCGATTAAGGGCGCAGAAGCCATGGCAATCTGTCTTCTGCCCCATCTGTCTCTCTCATAGTTGAAATCGGAGTGGCACAGCCAGTGTTAAGATGGTGGGAGTTCGTGTTTCCCCAGTGCAGGGTTAGCAGCACTAGGCTCTCTCATCTCAGGCCGACAAGCAAGGCAGTACATAAACCTCCAGTTTCCTGTGAGGCACTGTTTATTTTGTGTCTACACTGGACAGTAACTGAGATAATGATCTTCTCCCACTGCTTGATGCTCTCAGCCTTGGCCATTTTATTTCTGAATAGTGTCCTAACATACTGCCGTACTGATTCCCTGGGAAGAAGCTTGGGGAAGGACTGATGGGAAGGGAGGTAAAGAAAGTGCTTTCACCTGTGCTGGGTGCTGCTGCTCCCCTGCCTCCTACCCTGAACCAGCTGCTGAGGGCTGGGAATGATTGCTAGATTGCTTCTCAGTTCAGCCCGTTAACACCATCATTAGGGACAATTTCCTTAAAAGCCATTTAATTATTACCAGACCCTTGGTTTTCAAAGCTTTGACTGTGAGCCTTTGCATCTTGGATCTACAGGCCAGTGAAAGGCACTCTGCCTCCTGATGCTCCTTGGCTTCCCAGGGTGACTTCACACCTTCCTGGGGGAGTCGGGGATCATGGGCAACATAAAATCCCACAACAGTTACTGAAGAGCCTGAGCCAACTAACAGTTCCCTGGATGCCTCTGGCTGTGGGGGGCCTGAGCTTAGACTCTCCTGCCCCAGCTAGGCTCCCAGTGACTCCTGCAGCCCAGCCTCAATTCGCTGCCTGCGGGTTCTTCCCTGTGTGTCTGTTCCTTGGCTTAGCATTCCACTCTGCTCTTCCTGCTCTGAGGTAGCACCTCTCACCCTGGACCTTCCCTCCGGGGACCCTCCAGGGGCTCCACCTTCATTTACAACAATGTCTCATGGCTGTGTTGTGACCTCCTGTCTCCTCTCTTCCCCACCAGACTGTGACCCTTCAGCAGAGCTGCTGTGGATCAGAGTCTGTGACCCCCTAATCCATAGGATGAGGTTGTAATCTCTAAGGTGATGACATCCAGAGATGAGGTCATGAAAGGGGCCCCCAAGATGGGATAGTGTCTCTGTAGAAGGTGGCCCACAGAGGGTCCTTCCTTCCCTAAGAGGACACAGAGAGAGTCAGCTTTGGCATGCTGGCAAGACATCTCTCCTGGGCTTCAACTGTGTGGCACCCTACCGCTCTTCCCCACACCTGTGATAGATAACGCCTCTTTTTAACTGCCCAGCCTTGGTGCCATCTATTATTGGTTATTATTATTATTATTTTACTGCAGCCTGAGCTAAACAAGGTGACAGCCTTGCATAGCCCAACTCTTCTGTGCTGTGCCTGCAACGCTGCTGAAACATGGTTTTCCTGGAGCGAGAAGAGGAGGAGGCCAGCACTAAGCATGACTCTGTGCAGTCCAGATAGCCACGGCGCCTTCTGGCTCTGAGTGGAATGGCAAAAAGCCACCATCATCATCCTCCTCATTATGGATGAACTTTGTATGAAAAATGAAGTCCTTTCCATGCTCCGCCAAGTTGTGCTTACATGACCTGAACCCCTGAACTTGCAGTTAACTCTTAGCCAACAATAAATGAAGAGGTGTCATAGTAAACCGAGTGTCCAAAGTCACCTCCTAAGGCTCTACCCACAGCGCCCACTATCAGGTCAGCCAACAGCATGCCTACCCACTCAAACTGCTTGCTAGGCACACAGGGCTTTAAAATACATCTGTCCCTCAAACATCAGTGCATACTTGTGAAGCCCTCAAAGAATGACTATTCCGTGCAAACCACTATCTAGCCAAGAAAAGCAAATGCACTTGGCTCCCTAGTCCTGTGGAAACTGAGCGATTTAGACATGCTGTTCCTGTGTGTCTGGAAATTCTAACTATGTTTCTTTGAATAACTTGAAAGGAGTCAATGAAATACATCTGATTTTAAGACCACTCATTTCTGAGCAGAAGAGACATGTAATTAAGTTAAGCCATGTGATAGATCAATAATGTTGCATATTCATCATGATAAAGTTGTGTCTATATTATGTACTTATATAAATGTATGCAACCATAATCACATACATTTTATTAAAAAACTACATAATATGACTTAAATATAATATGTAAAAGTATCTAGTTATATTAAGATATAATAGTATTAAAAGCTGAAATTTTACATGTAAGTGTCCTAATAAAGTTGTAATTTTTAGTTTGTTTTGGTGAAATTGAAGTAATAAAATTTAAATTTTAACTGGCTTGGAGCCTGTGCTCCCTTCCACTTTTCCTTGATCCGCTCCTGAGGACTTGGTTGACGAAGATACAAGATAAAAAGCCCCCTGCATATGCCTGTCAGGGGGTTCCTTATACATTGTTAATTGACCAAAAAGACAGATTTAGAAAATCCCATGTCAAACCAAGATTTGATTGTTGGTCATTTTGGAGAACAGGTCAACATTTCTCCTCAAACGATAAACTTGAACTATAAGTGTGCATTCACATGTGGCACATAAGTCAAAAACAGAAACCAGCAAAACAGAAAAGCCAGAGAAGAGAGAAAGCAAAGATCTGACAAACAGCAAGCAAAGTTGGAATGAAAGATTATTATAATGTTGATTATGTTGCTAAGAAATACTTTATCCTTTAAGGTATACTATTCAAAAAGTCAGAAAGTAAATTTAATGAATGCTGCTTGCATAGTGTATTAAATTTTTCCTGCGTAGAAATAAATAAGCAGCACTTGCATGATAGAAAAATCTGAGAAGTTACCAGTTTCCCAGTAAATATTAGGAAATTCGCAGAATGAGCGTCCTGAGAGGACTGAGGCATGCTGGGAAATGTCTGTATCACCCTGCACAGTGGTGGGAAGCGGCAAAGGCTTTGTTCAACAGGTAACCTAGAAAACTAGACCTGCTAGTGACTTGGGTGCCTTGCAGCAGGAAACTTGGATATTAATCTTCCCCACTCTACGAGTCACTGGGAGCCACGGCATCCTCCTAAAATACACACCATGGAATCATCCCCCACAGCCACTAACGCAAACAGGAAGCACGATCATCATAGCGTGAGACATTACAAGTGTGCCCACATGCAATTTCAGTCAGATCTCAATCAGCAATGCACAGTTACAAAGAATAAAGACACTCTTCTGTCAAGAATCACAAAAGCCCAGGAGAAGCACAGGAAGATGCTCCTTCCTGATTTATTGCTCAACAATATTCCTTACGAATTGGAACAAATATGTAGCCAAACAGAGGAAAATAAATGCATCCCCAACTCCAGCACCACGGCGTCCACAGGAACATCTCCTTGTTACTAAGTTTTAGAGACACATATTGAGACAAGCCTGGTAGGAAAATTACAAGAAGATAATATAATTCTGAAATCATAAAATATTCCATAATGGAAGGGGCTGCAAGACAATTTCAGCATGGACAACATTTGCTTTTGTAATATGATCATATGTTAAGGTGATTTAAAAAAATCAATTTAAAAATTCACAAGATGATTTTATTCTCCTGATACAATACAGGTTTATTATACAATATTTCATCCAATGATTGTTTCACAGAAGTCTGTTCTACAACAAATGTTCTTTCAGGTCATTTGACTCCAAAGACAGAACAAAGTCCATCTTGCAAACAGGGCATTTCATGGTCCATCTCCACCATTACCCCAACATAAAGGCAAAATTCACAGATCTGAGCATCTGCAGATACCCTGCAGATCCCTCAGCCCCTCGCACCCCTGCCTGCCTGCAGCACCCCAGACAATCAGCACTGTTAATGAGTGGACTGTTCATCGGGTGCCCTTGTTAACTAGTAGCAAAAAACATGGTCCAGCTCTGAAAACAGATCATCGCCAATATGATTTGTAAGGATCCCTCAGCCATTTCCTCATCTTGAAAATCAACACTATAATCTAACAGTAGAAGATGAGCACCCAGTTTTTAAAAAAGATTCACACCATGAAGTAAGTTATGAAAGAATTGCTAAGAGAATTGTGTCCTTAAAATGACACATAGTTTTACACTGACATGACTAAAGGCACATTATCACCGTTCTTCTTAGGAGCACTGACCTGGTATGGGCTGAGGCGCTAACACCACAGTCGGGAGAGGCCTGGAGGCAGGAACTGGCCTGGGCAGAGACAGAGCTACTTGGTTTGCCAGAAAATGAGGTTTTTCGTGGCTGTAGAAGAGTCTGGATTCCTCAGGGTGTATCCATGTCGAGTCCAGAGCAAAGGAATTATTGAAAAAGATCTGTCCAAACACAACGGAAGTAAGGCATTTAAAGCAAAGCACTCGATGGACGAAAATGCAGACGTTTGTTGTCATTCACTGTCAAATATCGGGTAATCCATTCCTGGGCATTCCATAAAAACCTGGTTCTAAAGCTTCAAAATGCAGTTCCTTAAGAAACTAGCAAAAGGCCAGCTGACACCACACTGGTCTTCAACTATCCTCCTGGCCAGTTCAGCCCAGCAGCCCAAAGACCTAATGGGGTCACTACTGCACGTGGGAGAACAAGTTGATAGAGTACTCTGTCTTTTATATTGAAGCAAGCAAAAGATACCCAGGAAATTTGAATTCACAGGCCATCAGAAAGGAGAAAAACTCATTTCCAAACCATGAGAAAAACTCATTTCCAAAATTTAAAGCTTGCATGTATAATGTTTAAGAGTTTTAGTTAAGGGTTGTAGATTTTAAAGCTGAAATTTTTTAGGTAAATTCTGATTCAGAAGTCAATACTGTTTCAATAAAACCCAAGCATTTCAAGCTATGTCAGAAAGACCTTATATGCTGATATATCCAAGCAGGTCGGTCCATTTCTGAAATGATTCCTCTCTGTACTCAAATGGCCACTCTATTGCAATTAGAAACACATGACGTTTTCTGGTAACATGGTAATACCCAACAACTTATCAATTAAAAGTCCACTTGTCCAATTAAATTGCTTGCGCTTTTACCTTGTAATTAGGCAGCCTTTTGTCTACCCAGCTTTTCCCAGCCAGAGGTGGAAGGGCAGGAGGGCAGACGTGTGGGAAAATGGGCACCAGCTCCACAGTGGAGGAGGAAGACAGTCCTACGGATGGAGAGTGGCCACCAAACAGCCACTGGGACCCAGAATAAAAGAGAAAGAAGTTCTTGTTAGCCGAAGTCAAGCATTTCTCCTTTGTACACAAAGATTTGGAAATGACTGCTTGATTCAAAAAAAATTTAAAGTGAGCAGACTATGAGAAAAATTCTCTCACTTCCTATCAAGAAAGACCATAAGCATTTATAAATTACAGAGAAACATTAAAGTTTAATTTCAGTATCACCATGAAGGATTGTCAACGCAGCATCTGTTGGGGAGGAACTTCTAAGAAAAACCCACAAGAGAAAACAGGAAATGATTTTGTGTAATCCAATGGTCACTCAGATGGTCTGTTTAAATTAAATGGGTAACAAAAATCCAAAGAAAAGAATCTGGGAAAGGGACTGGAAGGGAGGGAATGGTGGATGGGGGTGGGGGGAGGAAACCAGGAGGGTTCACACACGTGGGTGAAACTGTCAAAGGGTTCTTTAATTAATTAAAAAATAAAGGAAACAATGAGTTTCTGGACTGAGTTGATAGGAAACCCTGATGGAACGGTAAAGGTTGGTGATCTGGCTTTTATTTTGAATCTTCTCTTAAATGGAGAACACAGACTTATCTAGAGCATTCCTTCAAAGCGGCAGTTTGTATCCATTCATTCAACATTTTTAATACAGTGCTATTTTCAAAATTAAACTAGCTAAGGAGTTAAGATTGCAAGTTTCTCAAGGTTTGTCAGTACAAATAGATTCTAAAGCAAAGACGATGTAAGGACTACTGGGCTAAAGATTCTCATGCAGCAACTTTCCACAGTGAACAGCAGAAGAGTGTGAGCACAGGGTCCCCATGAAAACCACCCAGGCCTCACCCCGGGGTGGGGAGGTGGAGACCCATCGGCCAGACATTTCATCCGCATTGTTTTAAAATCACAGTGCATCTCTTATGTTCCTGATACGTGAAAATAGCTCTGATTCCACACATTGCTACTTAGACAGTGGGCAGGCACAAAATACTGAGGTTAACACTAAATTTTTCTGGATTTTTCTTTTCAAATTTATGCATGGGGGGAAACTGCGGCTTTCTATACAGGGGGAGAAAGGTATTTCCTTGACATCCTGTACCTCTAGTGGTAGCACTCTGGAAGGACAGCCTCCTAAACCCGGCAAAAGCTACCAGCGCTTTCTCCAAAGAAGCTGATGCCGGCTTCCCCATGTGTGATTACCCTTAACTCCGAAGAGCGGCTCGGGGGGAGGTTTCACGACGTCTTCCAGAAATGCTCACAAGATAATACTGGGATTAAATTAATTAAAAGGTGTATTGGAACAGAATGCTCATTTGCATATGCTAATGAGGCTAGTCCTGGGAAATGAAATACGCGCTGCGCCCCGGTTCAAACGCATCTGCGTAGTTAGGGGACGAATGTGGCCAAAGCCGGCAAGGTGGCTGCCGCGCCATCCGTCTAAGGGCAATCGCTTTTCCTGCGGTTCCAGGTTTTGCACGCCAAACTCTTCTAAAGTGGGATCCGACCCCGGGGAATTCGTGGCCGTGGCAGGCCTCGGGCAGGAGGGGAGAGCCCCCTCTCGGTTGGCTTTCAAGCCCGGACTTCCAGGCTGCCGCGCGTGGCTGGAATTCTCTTAAGCCCTGCCCTGAATCTAGGGAAGGAGTAGGGGACCAGATCGGAATCAGAAACAGCTATCGATCCCCAGCTCGCTTTTCGAGTCTGGCGGAGACTGGAAAAGTATTAACTTCCAGGCGAGGCACGGCGGCCACGGCGGGCGGCTGCTGCGCTCGGCTCGGGGGCGGCGACTTCAGCACCGCGCGCCGGCCGGACGGCGCCGGGGACCCAAAGTTGGGGCGCCGCGGGCCGGGGGCTGCGGGGCTCCGACCGCCCTGGGCGGAGCCGGGGAAGAAACGGCCCGAAAACCGCCGAGGGGCGACGCGGGACGTCGGAGGATGAACTTTCTTGCCCACGCACGGCTGCGGCGCTGCCCCACGGTGCTGTGCGGAGGACACCGGGAGGAAGGAGCGGGAAGCTCCCGGCCGGAGCCGCCCAGCGCTCGAGGCCCGCGCCCCGGGGAGGAGGGACCCGCAACCCCCAGCCTCGGGGAAGGGGCCCGGGCCGTTACCTGTCCGCCGAGCAGGGGGCGGTGCACGCCGGCGTGGTCTGGCGCAGAGGGCAGCGGCCACGGGGGCAGCAGCGGCTCGCCCGGGGCCGGCCAGCCCGGCAGCCTCGGGAGCGGCGGGGCCGCGGCGGGCTGCACCGAGGCGA